TTCATAGGTTGCGTCTTAGACCCTTGCACCACCAGGGAGACCCCAAGAATTTGTCATTTTGAAGAGCAGTTTAAGATGGTGAGAATGTTAGCAGGGTAAGCTGAGGTGTCAGCTTATGCCTGAAAGTCCCTGACCTCATGGGTTTTATAGTTAAACCACATTAGTTAATTTATTAGCGCTGGGGGCTAAGTACTTCATTGTTTCATTTAATCCTTATAACCAACAGGTCTGCATATATGTGTGTATGTATATGTATACATATATATTAAAATGATGTCAAGTGAAAGTTGAGTGTAGAGAACGCATTCACATTGAGAATGTTATTTTTATAACTAAAATGCTCATTATAGAAAAATGTGAAAATATGGAAAATCCAAAAAAGTCCTTTCGTGTGACACATTTTGATTATTTCATCTGGTTTCCTTACTAGTGTGATGAAACACGGGATCATGTGGAAGTGTGTCCTGATGCTGGTGTTATTATTCAGGAACTTTCTCAACGCATTGCACTAACTGGAGGTGCTGCGCTGATTGCTGATTATGGTCATGATGGAACTAAGACAGACACTTTCCGAGTATGTTAATATAGTTTAATAATGTGATTTATTAGAATTTAATTGTTATGATTTACTTATAATTATGAATAGTTTTGAAACTCATTGAGGATCTTTATCTGTGGTGCCTAGTGATTTTTTTTTCCTTTCTAGTTTTTTTTGTTTTAACATTTATCATTATTTACAATTTTTTTAGACAATATTTGCTTCCTCCCACCCCCTCAGATTGAGTCCCATTAGCATTTCCTTCTCCAAGGCACCCATGCACCATCACCATAGTCCTCTGTGCTCCTCCCTCCCTCCCTTGCACCCCTCTCCCTCCTCCTCCCCTGCAGGATGTCTCTGGTTTATAATTATGTTTTTGCTTTGTTGTGTTTTGTACTGTTTTTTTTTTTTTTACGCTGATGTCTTATTTGGTTTCCCTATATTCCTGCTATAAGTGAAACCATCCAATATTTTTCTTTTTCCTTCTGGCTTATTTCACTGAGCATAATTCCTTCTAGTTCCATCCAAGTTGCTGCGAATGGCATGAGTTTATCTTTTTTGATTGCTGAATAATATTCCATTGTGTGTATATGCCACATCTTCTTGCTCCAGTCATCTATTTTTGGGCATTTGGGTTGTTTCCAGATTTTACCTATTGTAAATAGTGCTGCAATAAACATAGGTGTACAGGTGTTCTTTTGAATTACTGTTTTTGTGTCTTTTGGGTAGATCCCTAGTAGTGGAATTGCTGGATCGTATGGTAGCTCCATGCCTAGCAATTTCAATAATGTAATTGTATTATTTTATACTTAGGCTTAGGAATAAATCTGTGAAGGGCAATTAAAATATGAAGACTAAGTGTAAGTCCACTGTCCCACTCTCCTTTGAACAGTTGAATTGTCTACATTTTTCCTTAAGATGCAGAACCTAGACTTGTATAGATCCTAGTTAAGGACCTGAGTAATACATATAGAAGGATTTTTTTACATTTAAGTTTCTCCTTTAATTAAAAATTGTGGTACTTCTTTTGTAGATTTGACTTAGCTCTAAAATTTTTTTTTTTGCAACTCATTATATCAAGTTGGTTCAAACTTTTCCTATTGTCAACATCTTTCTTCCTTTCCAGATATATTTTTACCTTTCCTAAACATCTTTATGATCTTTGAATATGATCGAATCTTTTCAGGATATTTTAAATAAATTTAACTAGCTGCTGTTGGCCATTTTCTAGACCTGTGGTTAATTTTTTTTAGTTTTTTATAATTAAGGTAACACTGGTTTTTTACTCTGTATAATTCAGAAATAGCTCTCGATTTCTAACCTTATTGTACCTAACCAAAAAAAAAAGCTTTTGTTTAAAATGCTCATTCTGGGCCTCCCCGGTGGTGCAGCAGTTGAGCGCTGGGTCGCGGCCTCTGCGGCGCCGGTTCGATCCCCGGCTGCTCCCCGGCCACCGGCGGAGGATCCCACATGGCGCGCAGACCTCTCCTGCCGCCCGCTGCTCCCCTCAGCAGTGTGCTTCGGTCCTTCTGCCTGCTCTGCTCCCCACTCTGGCTCTAGTGAATTCTCTCACCCTCCCGCACTTCTGACTGTACCCAGTGCATGTATAAACAAAACAAACAAACAAAATAAATAAATAAATAAAACATGCCTCTATTAAAAAAAATAAAATAAAATAAAATGCTCATTCTGTATTTTTTTTTTTTTTTTTTAAGATTTATTTATTTATTTATACAAGCACTGGGTACAATCAGAAGCGCGGGAGAGTGAGAGAATTCACCAGAGCCAGAGCGGAGAACAGAACAGGCAGAGTGACGAAGTACACTGCTGAGGGGAGCAGCGGGTGGCAGGAGAGGTCTGCGCACCATGTGGGACCCTCCTCTGTGGCCGGGGAGCAGCCGGGGATCGAACCGGCGCTGCAGAGGCTGCAGGCAGCTTCGCAACCCAGTGCTCAACCGCTGTGCCACCGGGGAGGCCCTCATTCTGTATTCTTAACTCCTGTCAAGAATTCATCTGGAGAATTAATGCGATCCCTTGACCTCAGCATGGGCACTAACAAAAATGTTAAATAACTGTCAAGGAAGCAACTTCAGACACTGTGCTTTACATTGGGTTTTCTAAACGTGGCATCTCCTTTAAAGAAAGGGTGCAGCTCTAAAGCTTGCAAATCACTGATTCAGGCCATATTTTCCTTTTTAACAGTTATTGTGTAAAAGGTAAGCATTTCTTTAATCTTGTAACACTATAAAAAAGGTAAAAAATTATCACTTTAAAATTATGTTCAAGGGATTTTGTGGCCACAACCTCCATGACGTGTTAATTGCCCCAGGAACGGCAGACCTCACAGCTGATGTGGACTTCAGTTATTTGCGCAGAATGGCACAGGGAAAAGTCGCTTCTCTGGGTCCAATCAAACAACATACATTTTTAAAGAATATGGGAATTGATGTCCGACTGAAGGTAATGATTTATTTCATTGTCATTAAATATTTTAATTTCATAGTATTAGAAAGAGAACTCTTAGAGGGAATACGATGAACTGGTGGGGGACTATGGATGGTGGTGGGTACACTACATTGGCGATACCTGATGGGGGTATCCTAATGTTACTGTGATTAAAAATATTTAGATCCACCAAAAAAATTATAAATAAAAATAAATTTTAAGAACTTTTAAATAAGTTAATCTGGGCTTGTGTTCTTGTAGTAAGTCAGGCTCTTGGTGTTCCAGTTTTTTCAATAGTGTAGGATGCAATAAAATCAGTCTGAGGGTAGAGCAGCCTGGAAATGTTCATGGATATTTATATGAGTAGAATGAAAAGACTTTCAAGTAATGTTCATGTTTGTTTGCTAAGAAAGCAGCTGTGCTAATGTGTATAATTTTTACAATCTAAGGAAACCTTAATTCTTAAACGTAGATCAAACTACCTGGGAATATTTGTTAAACAAGTCCATAGGTTTGAGTCACAGCAGTTTATACTTCTAATATTCAGTGCATGTAACTAAAGTCCTGGTTATTTTTTACTAAGGAGTTTTTTCTTTTCAGGTTCTTCTAGATAAATCAAATGAGCCATCATTGAAACAGCAGTTATTTCAGGGATATGATATGTTAATGAATCCTAAGAAGATGGGAGAAAGATTTAACTTTTTTGCATTGCTACCTCATCAGAGACTTCACGGTACAAACCACCAGATGACTCCATGTCAATCAAAACCCTCTTCATCACCTGTAGCTGGGTTTGGTGAACTTGCTTGGCGGTGATACTTCAGTTTGGACTTCTTGCCGCTAACTCTGCTTAAGAAATCCATTTAGGGCCTCCCCGGTGGCGCAGCGGTTGAGCGCTGGGTTGCGAAGCTCTCTGCGGCGCCGGTTCGATCCCCGGCTGCTCCCCGGCCACCAGAGGAGGGTCCCACATGGCGCGCAGACCTCTCCTGCCGCCCGCTGCTCCCCTCAGCAGTGTACTTCGGTCCTTCTGCCTGCTCTGCTCCCCGCTCTGGCTCTGGTGAATTCACTATACCCAGTGCATGTATATAAATAAAGCATGCCTCTGAAATCCATTTAAAGGTAATATAAGTATTAAAAAATATTTTATCTTTCACAGCCACCAAAACATTCTATCTTATGTATAGTACGACTCAACATTTAACTTTTATGGTTGTGTCTAACTCTTGGTATAAATATGTGTTCTCAATGAAACAAGTTATTATGAAACGGAGTCTCCTTTGGATTTATGATGTTAGTTGCTATATTTAATAAAATGCTTATAATTTGATAGTACAAGTATAGACTGTAGTTTTCTGTTCTGTAATACTTACTCGAATAAAAAATTAAAGATGCAATAATCATTATTAAATTTTCCCAGTCTAGAAATGTATTTGAGGGTTAGGAAGAGAAACTAATAAACCAAACATGTACTTGAGATAGGAGTTAGAGTAAATGCAGATTACTGTGAAGGACTAACTGCAGATTACGATGAAGGAAGAATCATTTTCTAAATTGAGCTAGTTCTCCCTTAATTTCAGATAAATGTTCAGTTTTAGTTCTACTTTTTTTGATTTACAGACCTTTAAAAAACAAAACAAAACATGGACTTCATGAGCAGTTGCTGTGTTAGCAAGATAAATTTACCAGCATGATTAAAAGAATACTGGCCATATGTCTTGAATTGGTGGCTTAAGTATATTGGATGTTAACAGGCACAGTGATCGTATTGCTTTTTTAATTTGACTGACACTAGGACTACTGTTCTGTATCTCACTCTAAAGGACATGAAGATGGAAATCTTATTTTTCAGATATAGCTCAGTCTTGGGGCATTCCTATCTACTTTTATTGTTTCTATATTTATTTTCTTTATCTAAAGACTTGGTTGGGAGAATTTTTAAGACCAAAATGCCTAGAATTGGCTCCTCCCAATTATTTCAGTTTTTATAACTACGGGGAGAAGTTAGGCAATGCCTTGTCTCTTAAAAACTAGAAAACTGATTTTGATATTAGGTGTTTAACTTATTTAAGTCTTCAAAGCAGTTACAATAGTTGAATATTTGATAGTAGTTCCTGAAAAATTGGTAGTTGTAAATATTCCAAACTTTAATGCCAAGAAATGAGACCTCCAGATAATTAACCTCAAATTTCATGTAAAATTATTACAATGAGGTGTTTTTTATTTTAGGCAATTAAAAAATATCAGTGTTCTTAAATAATAGCATTATTTTAATTTACAAATACTATTTTCAAAATAGTTCTCTTACCAAGGCCTGGGAAAATAACACAACCAAATAATATTTTCTTTGGATACCTCTGGTAGATATAGGCTCAGGTTTGCACATGGAAAAGTATGGTGATATGGAAATACATTTTATTATCAAGCTTGAGAATATTTACAAAAAGTAGGATGTAACAAAAAATATAAAAATGTACTGAACAGTGTCATTATAGACTACTTTGTACATTATTAAATGTTTCTAACATTTCTTATACAAATACAACTTCACATCAACACAAAGCTATGCAAGTTAAAAGGTATTTGGAGTAATTACTCAACTCCAAATTATTTGACAGTGCCTTTACAAATTTTTTTTTTAAGATAACTTTTCTTAGGCATTCAACAAGAACAAAAAGAGTGCAATTAATTTCATGGCTTTGTATGGTTTGATTATATAAATATAGCAATGAACATTATTCCAGTTAATTTTCAAATTATGATCTTCATTTGATAGACTGAAGAATTCAAGATTGTTAGCTGCCTATATAGGCTTATACACAGCTAATAAAGAATGGAGCCATGACTTAAATTCAGGTTTTCTAAATCTTTTGGGTTTTGAGATATTAAAAAAAAGGGGGGGGGGGCTTACAATGATTACTAAGGAATGAAGAAACAAAAAGCCACTAGGTTTTTTGTATAAGTGGATAGTCCCAGATCTTAAATCATTTTGGGGGAGAACTATTAGTAACTTTCTAAAAGCTATGAAAAATGACCTCTTCAATATTATATATGAGTAGGGGAAAAAATTTTAGCTGTTGCTGGAGCTGAAATGTTTAAAAAACAAAACAAAACACAGAACTTACTTCAGTTTTCCTTTACTTGCCTTATACAGCCCTGCCTTTATTAACTATTTGATTTTCTACCTACTCATTCCCCCAAACTCCTTAAAATGGTTGGTTTTAAAAATATTCCAAATAATCTGTAAAGCTCTCCCTAAGCTAAGGAAAGGAAAAAAGGATACTGTTTGCTAGTCTTTCCTATAGCATTAATTGACCCTGCACTGACCTTACCCCTCTCCAATTATTCAACTCTAAATTGTTTATCCCTTTACCCACTGAATGTTGAAATCCAATTGTGGCATCACAGTGGTGTCAATGGGAAACATGAATATTTAGCAGCAGAGTTGAGCTATGAGAAGACTAACAATTCAGCACTTAGACAGACTAGCAGTTCCTGCTCCTGGTTTTGTATTATCAGTTGTCCTAAATTATCTTAGAGGCTGTGGCAACATACTCACAAAAGATGGTAACTTTAATTTTTATGTTGTACAGAGTATATGCAGAGTCTCTTAGGGATCATTTTGGAGTCCTGATTGACCTAAAATCAAAGGGTAACCATTCCAGTGCTCCTTTTCTATATGTCAAGGAAAAACCCTTCAAGGTCTCTATGGTCAGTTAAACAAATGTTAAATCACATGCTAGTAGCCTTTGTTATCTTTTAAATGCAAACCTATTTAGTAATCAACCTACAACTCTTGTATTATTTGGTTGAACTATGCAATAACTGGGCGCTAGCCTTGTTTTTTTCTTCTTAAAAAAATAACACAAGAACAAGAAAGGCAATATAAATTAAGTGCCGCTATTGTACTAAACTGAAAGATTAGAAAAAAACACAAAAACCAGTTATCGCTTATGCTATGAAAATGTGTTTCTGTTACTCACTTTCCCCTCTTGGACCTACTCATTATGAACTACAGTATTGGTGTCACTGATTTCTTATATTCCTCATGCCTTTGAATCCCTGCAGATGACAGCGTAGAAAGAACAGTTTTGCAGTAGAGTATCAATCCATAAAATGAAATCCTTCCTTAATGACGTTAGATCACTGATTATTAAGGATCTTCTTCCATATCATCTGGATTAGGAGCCATAATGAAGTGCTTTGGGTATACAAGGTTGTGTGTGTATGCATGTATTTCCCAACGGGCATCATCACTTTCGTGTGTAATATAACGTTCTCCAATGCGAGTTTCAAATTCTCGAAGGTCAAGCCAAGTCTGATAGTCCTTTAAAAAAAAAGTGATTATGAAATATAAAGGAAACAAAATCATCTCAAGCTCTTTTTTGTTAAATATAAATGATTTTTCAAATTTAATCTTAAGTGAAGAAAGTAACTAGTTTCTAAAATTTAAACAATAATTGCCTCAAAGTTCTAAAGTGGCTAATAATCACCAATATTTTATTCTATACTATTGCACAAACTGGGGAAAGTGTTTAGACTCTATTTTCAGAATAATACAATAATTGCTGAGACTGTTTTTGTTTTGAAGTTAATTCTTCCATTCACTCCCTTTAAAATAATTTGGGGTATTATCTTTTGATGAATCTATGCAGTAGCTTTTGGGGAATTAAGATAAACATTTCAAAACGGGATTTCTGAACTTTTCAATGCAAACATAAACCTTTCAGTGGATGTTTTACAAATAAAGTGCATTTGACAAATTAGTATTACTTTGTAGTATTACTTGACAAAGTAGTATTACAAAGTAGTTTTACAAATAAAGTGTATTTGACAAAGTAGTATTCAGTTACTTACAAAAGGGTTTATCTTACAAAAGGGTGAAATGAACATATAAGGCCTTATGAAAGGCTAAATCACTGCTTTCAGTCAGAGGAGTTTAATTACCTATCAGTTTTGGATTTGAATGGTGTACTGCAGAACTTCCATAGATTCAGCCACAGTGCACCTTAATAACTGAAGAACACTTACATTGTTTTAAAGAAATCACAATGAACTGCTCAAAAAATAGCCAAAGAAACTTTTTTTTTTTACCTGTAGCCAGGGATGACTAAGAGATTTGTCCACACTGTAACGTTTTCTCATCTTCACTTGAAGTAGATTGTTTATCAAGTCAATTGCTAAGGGAAAAGACAATTAGATACGTAAATTTGGGCATACAGAGCATCCTATACTTGTGGCCCTGTCTAGAAGGTAGTTCAAGCCGTTGTAATATAGGGTTGAGTATATTTGCTTAAGAGCATGGCCTTTAAGCTAACATGTCTTAGTGGCCCAAAATGTTTATTGAGTTTATAGTGTACCTGTTTTATTAAGGAGGCAGCATAGAATGAAGATTAAAAGATACTCTGGAGCCAGCCTGCCTGGGCTTAAGTCATTGTGCCACTTACTACTATGATATGGGGTCAGTTACTAATCTATACTGTGCCTCAGTTTCCTTACCTGTAAAATGAGGTTGAGAAGATAAAATTAGTTGAACACATGAAAAGGCTTAGAATGGTACTTAGCACCTACGTTGTGAGTAGTAAATCTTACACATCAAGATGAATAAAGCTCTGACTAGAGGTTAACTCCCCCACTTTTTTAAATGATGCTATATTCTCTGATCCCTGGTTTGATATGGAAAAGTAGCCAAAGCTACTGACTTGCCTCAAGAGATGTGGTTAGATTGAGGAGACATCGTATTATTTAAAAGTTCATACTCAACAGATTTGGACAAGTATGTTAGCCTTTTGGTATATGTGGTGAGATCTTGGCATATATACTTTACCTAACTTTTTTGAGAAATGGACCAAGTATAAAACCAAAGCACCATATAACTACCTATAGACTATGACCCAATATAATAATAAACCTGAAATACTGATATTAAGGTCTGGACCTAGGATGAACCAAATGAAAGATATATACTAGTACTATTTCTCTTTACCACCAAACTAGCAAAGATTTTCTATAAACATTTTAGTTGTGAATTTCTCTGTGTTCCAAATATTTCAAGCCTTCATACATTGGTCCTTATATGGTGTTCCACCATCAAGAATCATTTTTTTTTTTTATTATTTTTTTTTCAGCATTTATTTATTTATACATGCACTGGGTACAGTCAGAATCATTTGTGTGGGCCTCCCCGGTGGCGCAGTGGTTGAGCGCTGGGTTGCGAAGCTGCCCGCGGCCTCTGCGGCGCCGGTTCGATCCCCGGCTGCTCCCCGGCCACTGGAGGAGGGTCCCACATGGCACCTCTCATGCCGCCCGCTGCTCCCCTCAGCAGTGTACTTCAGTCCTTCTGCCTGCTCTGCTCCCTGCTCTGGCTCTGGTGAATTCTCTCACCCTCCCGCGCTTCTGACTGTACCCAGTGCTTGTATAAACAAAAACAAAAACAAAACAAACAAACAAATAAATAATACATGCCTCTTAAGAAAAAAAAAGAATCATTTGTGGGTATTTATTTAAAATGTTTTTGTGTGTATCATTCCAATTGATAAATCTGAATTATCTGAGACATGGCCTAGGGTTTTTCTTTTCATAAACTTACAAAGTGAGTCTTGTATAATAAGAGGACCACAGACTGCCCCAGGAGCTCTACCAAGATAATTTTGGTAACATCCAAAACCCCTCAAATGTTCTTCAGTTTGCTCTATTCATTATCAAGTGAACCTGCTACTTTATCATGCTGCTCCTCACACTTTGCTCAGTTTAATGAACTGTTAATCTCTGTGATTCGATCTGGAAAAACAAAAGACTTATCTGTTCTAAGGTTTGGTGAAATCCATATAGGGGAAGTCCCTAGCAGTGGTTTCTTCTAAATTCTACAGGACTGTTAATGTTTTTAAGGGTGTACTCTTCTTTCCAGTATCAGAAAAAAGGGTCAACCAGACCATTCTTGATAGATATAGAATGAGGGGTTGAAAACTGAAAAATCTTCAACAGGCAGGAAAACCAAATGTAGGAGTGTCCCCAGTAGTGTTCCATGGAAAAGCTAAAAAACTGGAGTGTCCATTGAGTATAAAGGTTGCTATAAAGAACCAAGTTAGGAGGCTCCATTCAAGGAGCTTACAGTCTTGTGAAGACAGGAAAAGTAATAGTGAAATGACAGAAGAATACCTGGAAAAATACGTCCAACTAGTAGGCTAAGAAAGATCTCATACAGTTTAGAGGGAAAACCTCACAGATGAGCCACAAGTTAAGAGTTCCTTGAAGGTCTGGAAGGATTTCAGTAGTGAATAGAGTCAGGGGGAAAGGCCTACACAAAATGAAGAATTCAAAAAAGACTACACAAGCAGGCTTTTGTAGGGGAGTAGTGGGAGGTATCACATACAGAACCTAAAGCTGCAACGGGTTAAAGGGAGGCCCCTGTGTTTGGGAACAGGGTAAGATGAAAGTGGTGTTTCCAGAAGATTTGACAGTGGTGATGAAGGACCAGGAGAGTTTGATGGGTAGGTCAGTTAAAAATTTATCTTAGTAGTTTCAAACTGAGGCAACTGGGCCTGGAATAGTGCTACATCTGAATGTAAGGAAGATATAAAAAGACACTTGGTAAGTGAATTTTAGAAGATGAATGAAAGAGAAGTCAGAAGAAACAGGTCAACTTGGAATCAAAAAGACTTGTAGACTAAATGGCATAGAACTAAATTTTACCTTCACCAGAAATTTCTCTCCATGGATTTGGTGGGTACATAAATGCAGCATTTTGGATTTGGTCATTTATATCTTCATCTTCATTGAAAGGAAACGTGCCACTGAGGCTCACATAGACGATAACGCCCACTGACCACATATCTAGAGAACGGTTGTAACCTTTGCTCCTAAGAACTTCAGGGGCCAAGTATGCTGGAGTTCCTACTACAGACCTCCTGAATGACTTCTCACCAATGATGCGTGCAAAACCAAAGTCACACAGCTTCACCTGGAAATCAAAGGATGATGTTCAGTTTATATTATGTGTCAACCTATATGCACATACCTGTTCCTAAATGTGAAACTATCATGTCAACACACTTGCACTGAATTGTATTAGGAAGGTAAAATGATAATAGATATGGAAACTAAAATATCTTTTTCCCAAAAGGCAGGATACATTTATATGTGATCCATTACTAATATAGAATGAGTTTTTCTCGTGTTTATTTCAAAAAACCACGTATGAATTCCAGCTTCTAGGAAATATAATACCAGACTGGTATTAAAAGTATTCAAAGGTTTTTGATGAATTGGATGGAGAGTGTAGGTCTTTTATCATTTGGCTTTTAGGGCTCACTTTCATCTGTGAGCAGGAAGTGTTTTCATTTTTGAAGTTCCAATGGCCTTACAGACATACAAAAGTACTGAATATACGTTTCCTGAATGAAAAATAAGGTATTTAAAAACTTACCATTTATTTTTGCTTAGTCCTAGAATCTCTCTTCCCAAGGATACTATAAATTGGCAAGTAAATTTAGTTTCATTAATGATAACTATTAATAGAGACAGTAGAATAGTGCTAGAGATTATTGCTTGAAAGAATAAGAGTAACTTTTCTGTGACCAAGGAACAAATTGTTACTAGCTGGATGTTTACGTATGAAAAAAGCTATATCTGAAAGTAGTGATAGTCACAAAAGAGTTCTAGAAGTGCAATGAGCTTGGCTCACAATTAATCTTGATGCCTACTTTCTAGTACAGGTTCAGATTTTGGTGACCAATGATGCATTCACACTGAACAAGCTAACAATAAGTATTTTCTGGAGAGAATGTCCTGATTTACAAAATGTCTTCAGAAAAACAAACAAAAAAAATTAAAATAATTTGAGAGAAGGAATTTGACCTTTATAAAGCAATATAAATAGTGACTGGTGAGCAAAGGTATCTTCAAATGCTGCTAGCTGTTTCTCAGATATGGATTCTCAGATACATTTTTTTGATGCTTTTTGTTCTGTGAACTGCATCTGGCCACTTCTCTATTTGAGTCTTCAAAGAATAGAATAAGTGATCATGAAGAAATTTGAACTCTCTTTTTGTTAAATAGCGTATTTCAGCTAACATCTTGTTAAAGTAGATAGGACCTTGGCAACTGAATAATACTTGAATAGAAGACTATCAAATAAATGACATCATTTTCCCCCTTTGTTCCTAATGACAACAATAGGGATCACTAAAGCAGAGGTAAGAAAGTTGGAGTTTATCCTTAGCTGTACCATTTTGAAGATCAATTAAGATAACATATGAAAGCACCAAATTATCAGGGAACCCTTTTTGTTCTTACAATGATACAGAATCACTTTCAACCAAATAGATGTTATAAAAGAAAGACTATATCTTTCTTCTACATCTTTAAAAGTGAAGAATTTGAATTTTTAAAATCTTTTCCTTGGAAAGACAATTTGAGATGTATTTATGAAGTGAAAAACAGTCATCTATTGTGCTTATTCTAGACCTTTGTCTAATTGTGTATATTTTAAATGTACATGAACAATAACACAACAAATATTCTAGCTGATTGGAGGACTTATCAATGACAAAATTAATAACATTCATAGGTACTAACATAAATATTCTAGACAACTATTTCAAACTTTGCCTATGATTGATTTTTAAATTATGAAATAAATTTGGATCAAGATCAACACTTTTCATAAGATGAAATATAACAAAGTGAATAATAAAATGAATGCATCACACTTAGGATATACGCACACAGTACTGTCATATGTGTGAGCACTGGTTGTCAGAGGAAATATAATTCTTACATAGATTTTGGTGAAAACATTTGAAATATAGTTCTCTAAAGAGGAAAAGAAGTTGCCTCAACCAAAATCTAGTATCTCCCATTTCAGGGTTACTCTTCAATTTGTTTTATTTTATGGAGAATTTGTCCTGAGCATCATGCATCAACATAAGTTGCTTCTCCTTCCATTTTGTTCCCAACCCACAGGGAGTGGTGAAATTTAAATAATTTCTGTGCAAAAAGTTATTCCTTGAGATCTGGTTACGTTTAAGAAGTCTTAATGAAAATAAACTATAAGCAGTAAAATCTGAATTCAAATTATTCAAATATTGATCCTCACTGAAAGTCACAGGTTAAAAACCTTATTTCTATAAGATGGTTATGTATTTGAACCTCCAGCACTGGAGGTTTTTGCTACATGGGAACTTAGTAATATTGCCGGACAGACACTGAAAACAAATCTTAAAAAGGTTCTGGAGAATATCTCACCTGAGGAAATGGCTCTGCTGATGCGAGTAGTACATTTTCTGGCTTTAAATCACAGTGTACAATGTTCTTAAAATGTAGATTCCTCAAAGCAACAAGAATCTATTATTGAAGAAAAGACTTTTTTAATGCCTGAAAAAATCATAACTGAATTGCAATCTGACCCCCTGAATGGTACAGTAATTTGAAAAGTCTACTACCATTCACCAGGATTTAAGTGAACTGTTATTCTTTTTTTCAAGGTTAACAATTCCCACAATATTCCGATATAGAAAAGCGTTACTATTTAATTCTTAGTTCTGACAATGTTTAGTTTTAAAATAGATAAAATACCTGTGTGACCATGAATTTAGTAATTCGTTCTGGAAGTCTACTTTTCTCGCTGGATAGAATCATTTCCAACATATCTCCATGCAGCTTTTCCATCACAACAAACACTCGTTCTGGGGTTTCAAACATACATTCCAGGTTTACAATCCCAGGATGGTGTAAATTCTGAAGAGTTACAGAATACTTATTTGACCAACTTACGTAGCGAGATAATTTTACTACTCAAACATCTATCAATGCACTGCAAAAATTATATGAAATACATGGCATAGAAAGGAAACCAGCTGAAAAATAATAAAAGCAAACAAAACAAATAGGATCAGATTGTGATTTTCCAAAGCTCTCTGAGAGTAGATGTACTGAGGGAAAATAATGTCTTCCCTATTTGATTATATGACTGATTTTGTCCATCACTACTACTTTTCCTTCCTTCTCTTTTTAAAAAAATTAATTATTTTTATTGAGGTAGCGTTGGTTTACAATACTGTGTTTTGGCGGTATAACAGTAAGTTTATACTGCTCAGGAACAGGGACCAAATGCCAATCATAGGTTAGCCAATTAAGAGTTTAAGCTCTTGGGGGCTAAATTTGTGAAGGTCTTTGCTCAAAAGATAGTTTTGTTTTTAAGGTCATCATCTAGGTCTTGATTTTCATGATGTTCTACCTCAGTTTGGTCTTCCATCCTAGACGCAGCATCTCTTTACATCCATTGCCCCGTGTTTCTTGAGTACTATACTAGGCTAGCAGAGTTTGAGAAATACAAAGATGAATGTGATACTGTTTCTGTTAATAAAAAACCCATCTGTCTTCCTACTTAAAAAGCAAACCAAAAAAACCCATATTTCTCTAAAGCAAATTTGAGAAGTCAGCCACACTAAAAATTGTTCAATGGCTCTTTATTTATGGACATAAATCTAAATTCCTCTGCTGTTGCTTTTACATCTTTAATAATCAGGTTTCATTCTCTCTATCCAAACTTAAATATGTTCCACCGTCATTACATTTTCAGTCTTTGTTAATAGAAATTGTTTTTATGCTTTCCCCCCTTATTACTGGTACCTAACTATGGGAAGGGGGCCGACTTTTTTTGGCCTATAAGAGATTGAGTACTCTCTAAATTGTTTTTTGAATCCTGCATCATTTCTCAATTCCCATGGCAAAGCTGCCTTAATTTTATCTCACAGTACTTTCTATAGGATTACTGTAGTAGTTTCCATTACACTCTAGACAGTCAGCAATACCTTACCCATGCACTGGAATATGTGTTTAAGTATTTTACTTTATAGCCTAATGTTCCCTTTGGGTACAGACTATGTCTCAGTCATTTTAGCTCAATGTCTGAATCACGGTTGATGCTTTTAAAAACGTTTAGAAAATGAAAACAATTCCCTTTAAAAAAATATATTAATTCACACAGTACTAGAATTATCACTCATATACAAAGTAGCCAAAGCTGATCCTTAAATATATAGAATTTTGATTTACATACTGCAAAGGAACAATTGAAGGCACAATTTTACATGTGTGTGTCAATACACAAACACCACACATATAAATTAAACTAGGTCCACTATGGTAGAATAGAAAGCACATGTGGCTTTAAAGCAAGACTTAGATTCAAACTCTAAACCTGCCTTTAGCTGAGTGATACTGAGAAAAAGTACTTAAGCATAGTTTCTATACAAAGTAAGCAATTCACTAAATATAAAAACGTAAATATGTTATAAAGACAATTTGAAAAGAATCTACAACAAAAATACTGCATTAAATTTAAGATGAAAACAGTATTTTTGGAGATGTACTCAATTCTTTTCTCAGTTGGGCAATATCAATGAAAATGACGAGGAGGATATAATGAAAAAGTTTTTAACATTATGCATCTAAATTATGATCCATAGTTGGTTACATGGTAGGAAGAAGCTTCAGTGTTTAGTTTGTGATCAAAGCTATGAGAAATCAAGCCTTAGAAATATGTCCTTAATATTTTATTTTTGCACATTAGTTGGATGAGAGAGATCCCAAAATTAGACATAAAAAAAGATTTCTAACTATATTAACACCCTCATAGAGTGTCTGAGTACTATTAATATCCTCTTTAAAGGTAGTTTTATAGGAGGAGACAGCCTTGAGGTAACCACAGGTAGCTTGTAGAACATAATCTTTTGATTATCATGCCTCTGAACAATAAGGTGATACAAATGTTACTAATTATGGGACCTTACCATGTGGTGCAAGGGGTTAAGATGCAACAGTAAGAAGCTAGCCACAGCCACTGCAGCACAAGTTTGATCCCCAGCCAGTGAGGTGACCCACATGATGCAGCAGACCTCTCCTGCCTCGCCCACTGCTCCCCTCAGCAGTGTATTTCAGTACATCTGCCTGTTCTGCTCCCCACTCTGTCTCTCTTCTGTTTACCATTCTGTCTCTGGTGAATCCTCTCACCACTGCATCTCTGGCTTGCATCCCAGCTCTTGTATGCATAAACCAATAAATCTTTAAAAAAATACATATTTAAAAAAAACAAAAAAACTCCAAATGTTACTAATTATAACCAATGTAATAAATGTAAGATTAACTATGTCTTTGTAAATTTCTTACCCTCTTCTTCATAGAAAAATAAGGTTAGCAAGCTGTCTCTTCTTGAACCTCTCCCAAAAGCAAATGGGGCTCTGACAGCACTATTGCATCATCATGATTTATAAATTTATTTTTTTTACATTTACTGATTTATGCACACAAGAACTGGGGTACAGGCCAGAGGTGTGGAGGGTAAGAGGCTTCACCAGAGACAGAACGGTAAACAGAACAGGCAGACTGACTGAAATACACTGCTGAGGGGAGCCGCGGGCAAGTCAGGAGAGGTCTGCTGCGCCATGTGGGTAGCTCCCTGGTCAGGGATCAAATTCATGCTGCAGCGGCTGTGGATAGCTTCATAGGTTGCGTCTTAACCCTTTGTGCCACCAGGGAGGCCCCGATTCATAAATTCATGAAAAATGAATGGACAACTGCATATTATATTTATATAATACTATGCAAAGTCAAAATCAAAACCATACAAAGCAACTTAGCTTTTACCTGTAAAATAGCCACTTCATTACGGAGTTGACTTTCCTGTTTTGTAGGGAATCTCATCTTATCAATTACTTTAATAGCCACATCCCTTCCAGTCTTTCTATGTTTTCCTATTTTAAAAATATAGAAAAGAGCAAACAAATTGACAGCTCAAATATAATTAAAATATTTTATGAGGAACCTGCTGATAGACTGAAAATTTTATATGCTCATTTTGTTCTTTTGCCTTCATTCAACTTTAATTTTAGGAAATTATGTTTTCCTTCTATCATATTTGCCCTGAATAAAGGCTGTATCATTTACTAGAAATGATGAGACATCTGAATAAACTTGTTTGCTGAAAAACTACCTGCCTTATTATATATAAATGACAGTTAACTGTCCTGACCTTGACTTCAGAGAGTCTCAAGACAGAAATACAGCAGTAAGAATTAATTTTATTCCAGGTTCACTTAGTCAACAAAGAGTTATTTGATGTACTGAGCAAGTTCGGAGGCAGAAAGGCCAACCAGGAAGAATATTATAACAGTCTTATGTTGATAAAAGGGGATGACAAGATTTAACATTACTTTTATATCTTGGATCATAGCTTAGAAAGTATATTCACGTCCTTTAGGTTTAATTAAATTAATATTAACAACTGTGTGAGTTATGTGGGTTAATTTTATTAGCTCCATTAAACTGAGGCACATTGAGGTCAAATGACTTTGCCAAATTATACATCAGAGATTAAGATTTCAGTTCTTCAGAGATGATATTCATTGTCAGCACCCAACAAATGGAACCATTTATGCTGGAAAACCAGTGGGGAATATATTTCAATAAACAAGCCCACACAGCCCAATATAGCTTCAAACCATTTATTTTTTCCACATAAACATCTTTACATATGAGCTATAATAGGAAAAAAGATTTGTGAAACTAATTTTCTGATAATTTTCAAAGTTTATAGATGAAATTAGGGAATGACGACTCAGTTACAGTGAGAAAAACTTAGCTAAAAGGATTGAGTCAGCCTTTGAGAAAAAGACCAATTAACAAAATTCTGAAAAGACATAACAGTTTAAAATTTCATAATTTTTCTAAGTATGTACAATAGCAAAAGGCTTACCTCCATAAACAATACCAAACTGGCCTGAACCAAGCACCTCATCTGCAAAGATCTGGTAAACAGTACTAATGTCCTATTTAGGAGAGAGCAAGCAGTTTTGTTAATCTCTATGAAACAATGTTAACATGTCTTACTCTTTTCAAATACTTAAATACATTTTTATTTTTAAGAAACGAAATTTTCCTAACAAAATATTTTATGAAGCATAAGTTTTCTATGTACTAGAAAGATAAGCCCAGTTTTTATACTATGACCTTTTTTTAAACTGTGGAAATACTGCGGTACTCCCATCAGGTATTACCACCATCAGGTATTAATCACCCAATTTTCATACATTGGCTATAATTTTTACTTACCACATTTTCCTGGATTTGACAATTAGATACAGAGATACTGGTAGATAAATCTTCTGTAAAATATAAAAATGATGTATATCATGTAACAACTGTTGTTATATGACAATATTAATATTTACTCAACATAAATGATAATGCTATTTACATTTAAAAAATACATTAATATAATTATGCACATTAGAAATTTATCCAAACGTACATTACTAATCCAAATTGGTTAATAAAATGATACATCCTTAAAAAGTAAAAATGCCCAAATATTTAATTTAGTTAATTTAATTAATAAGTACTGAGAAAGACAAGTTACAGGGTAGCATTATTTGAACTTAAAACTACAAAACATACATGACTACTTCTGGTAAATGAAAGAGGTGGAGATGGGGAACAAGGATTTTAGCTTTTACAAATTCCTATACTTTCATTTTTATAAAACATATGCATTATTTTCATGATAAAAATTAAAAATTGGGTAAATTTATATACTGACATTTAAATATATCTGATATAAAAGTAAATAAATAACGGATACAAAAGCATGTTGCAATAAACACACCGAATATGACCACATTTTTGGCAAAAATTCAAACATAATAATATAGCACAGCTAATGTAAGTTCATTTTCCCAAAGCCCTCCCAAATCAAGAAATATACACCAAATTATTAATAATGGTTTTCTGAGGGAGGGAGATATAGGATTGGAAATAAGGGTATGTGCTATGTGTGTACAAGGAAGATGTTTTCATTTTATATATGTATTTTATAAAGTTTAAGTATCTTTTTACCTTGGTAAGCAAAGGAAGTAATAAGAGAAAAGGGATTAAACACAGGAAGTAAACAGAGACTAGATAGCAAACATCTAGAATCTCAGAAATAACTCAAAGAAATAAAATGAAATTTCTTCTATAATCCCAAACATAAAAATGTAAAATTTCCCTCACAAGGAAATGTAAAATTATCCATTAAAAACAATGAGTATCAAAAACCCTATTTTATTTTATTTTTTTAAAGATTTATTTTATTTATTTATACAAGCACTGGGTACAGTCAGAAGTGTGGGAGGGTGAGAGAATTCACCAGAGCCAGAGCGGGGAGCAGAGCAGGCAGAAGGACCGAAGTACACTGCTGAGGGGAGCAGCGGGCGGCAGGAGAGGTCTGCGCGCCATGTGGGACCCCCCTCCGGTGGCCGGGGAGCAGCCGGGGATTGAACCGGCACTACAGAGGCTGCGGGCAGCTTCGCAACCCGGGGATTGAACCGGCGCTACAGAGGCTGTGGGCAGCTTCGCAACCCAGCGCTCAACCTCTGCGCCACCGGGGAGGCCACAAAAACCCTATTTTAAAATGTTAAGTCAACTTTAAAATATTTTAAATAACTAAAATGTTAAACTTTTTAAAGAAACAAAAAAGGCAACCTTCAACAGAATCAATGTGCCTAAATCTCAGTAGAAACTAGGAAACTGCTGATCTACTTTTCTAGCTTAAGTTTCAATATTTATTTTCTCTCAAAGGCCTCTACTACTAGCACCATCTAGTCATAATTCTATTGCTTTCCAGGGGAACATAAGTTGTTGAAAGGGCAGCAACAACATAGTATCACTGATGTGTCAGGAAATGTGCTAAATGGATTATGCGTACTTACAAAGAATTGAAAGAACTGTAAAGAACTGAACAGGTCAAGATCACAGAGCTAGTAAGCAGAATTAGGTTTTCATTCTCATGAAATCCTCACATTGAAGCCTTCTGCAATTCTGTCTTTACAGATTTAATTCAAGAGATGGGCTTGAAAGAGTCCACAAACCCACACATAAAATTTGTATTTATGGGACTTTATTTCTTTTCTAGGAGGAAATTAGAGTATCAGAAAGTTCTATCTAAAATACCTCCAGGGCCTCCCTGGTGGCATAAGGGGTTAAGATGCAACCTATGAAGCTCGCCACAGCTACTGCAGCACGAGTTCAACCCCCAGCCAGAGATCAACCCATGTGGCGCAGCAGACCTCTCCTGACTTGCCCGCTGCTCCCCTCAGCAGTGTATTTCAGTCGATCTGCCTGCTTTGTTCACTGCTCTGACTCCAGTGAACCTCTTACTCCCCACAACTCTGGCCTGTGCTCCAGTTTTTATATGTATAAATAAAATCTTTTAAAAATAAATAAATAAATAAATAAAATACCTCCAAACTGAAGAAGCACTGTGAATATCTACTTATTCACCCTCTAAGATCATTATTATACACCAAACATGTTCATGGTCATCCCCATGTCTCTTTGATCACACCTGTCTCCTCACTGAAGTAACACTATTGATAACTTCTTCCATTCTCCCATTTAGCTCTCTAACCTATCCTATCTGAGATTCAAGGGCCAAATCAGGTTCTCCTACCATTAAATCTCTGCATAGTCCTTCTCTCTATATTTGAATTCTCCGAATAATGCATTACTCACTTTTGGCTCTACATGCTATAAGCTTTCACCTAATACTTAGGTATGTAAGTCCCATCTCCCTAAACAGCTTTTAAAATTTCTGTATTCGGGTCTCCCCGGTGGCACAGCGGTTGAGCGCTGGGTTGCGAAGCTGCCCGCGGCCTCTGCGGTGCCGGTTCGATCCCCGGCTGCTCCCCGGCCACTGGAGGAGGGTCCCACATGGCGCGCAGACCTCTCCTGCCACCCGCTGCTCCCCTCAGCAGTGTACTTCAGTCCTTCTGCCTGCTCTGCTCCCCGCTCTGGCTCTGGTGAATTCTCTCACCCTCCCGCACTTCTGACTGTACCCAGTGCATGTACAAACAAACAAACAAACAAACAAACAAACAAACAAATTAAAAACATGCCTCTATTAAAAAAAATAAATAAAAAAAATAAAATTTCTGTATTTCTTTTGTATTCTAGCTTAGAGTCCAGCATAATGCCAAGAATAGTTTTGCAAAGTAGCAAGGCTGAACTGAAATAAGCTATATTTAGAAACGGGAAGATACCTATTACAATTAACAAATATATTTGCTAATTGTGTTTCCCTAGAAATAAAATAATGGGGGGAAAATGACATATTATGGCTTTCTAACTAAGCGTTCACTTGAACCTTTATGAAATTTATGTTTTATTTTATACATTTTTTTGGTACAAAGAACATGTGTCTCAATAATTTGTATTTCCAAATGTTTTAATTTAGTTGAAGAAATACAGCATTTTTGATTTCACAAGTATGAGGTGAAATTTAAGACTTTAGAAACTGTTTATATCCCTCCAGAAAGCAAAATAGTAATCCTAATAGTTTACCTAATAAATGAGAGTTCATGGATTTCAAACACTATTCTGACAACCCTATAAAGAAGGTACCATAAGGAATTACTTACAGAGAGGTAAGTACTTGCCTAATATCACACAGCAGATTGGTAAAGTCAGGATTTAAATCTAGGGAGACTGTCTTTGGGGGTCGGTTCTGAGGATTATGCATATATACTAGCAACAATAAAATTTCATAAAAGAATGAACTAATGGCATTGTTACTAAAAATAAAGCTAAAAATGCACATGTCAATACATAGAAAAACACAATCACACTCACAAAATGTTTCAGAAACAAAAGGGGAAAAAAAGCCATTAACAAGCTGATTGCTTACTGTGATCTTTCCCTTGCCCAGGAGAAGCGCAAACACTTGCTTGAGGGGTAACAGGCATAAGAGCTTGGCGAATTGCTTTTTCCCAGCTCTGTGCTACATCAAGTCCAACTCCAGTGGCAGCAAGAACAGGATTGTGAGAGCTGTCCCCATTGTTCTCACCAGCGAAGTATACCATAGTATCAGTGATGATTTCAAAACAGTGTGGGTTGCTGCCTTGTGAAACGTTTGTGAAATCTTGTGGCGAAGATATGCGAAGAATTTCTGAAAGTGGAATTTCCTGAAGTGGAAAGCATTGGAAAATATGAATGTCTTTGTTTTTAATTTCAAATAAACTAAACGGTCGAAGATACGCATTTCCAATGAACGTCACTACAACAAACACAAATATGTGGAATATCAAAAACATAGTCAAGTCTTATGGATAATAAATTCCACAAACAATAGGCTCAGTAACTTCTATAAACAATAGTAGGCAGAGTTGTGTAATAAGTGTATTTCAATATAACAGTTAATATATACAAACACACTTTGAAAACCTAATTATTTTTTGTACATATTTTTAAAAATGTGAAATGTTTACCTTATAGTACTTTGATCCAGATTCATTTTGAAACAATGTTAGACATTTGCTATCAAGTCTCCAATAATGCCTCTTCCTCTATAAAATAAAGAATACGAAACTATGAGGTTAAAATATAATTCCTCCAAGGTATTTTACTTTACTTTTCCTTTCATTTCTATTCATTTGTTGTTTTCAATTAAAATTCATGAGGTTCAAATTCTAAAAATATAAAAAGGATACATAGCAAAAAGTATACTCCCCACCACTGTTATCCTACTCCCACCCTCCTCCCAGGCAGTGTGATTACCGTTTTGGAGATCCCATTGGATTATCAGAAAAATCATGACACATTTTTGCATAAAAAACATAGGAAAAATATATGACTTTTCTGACCTAATATTAGATTTTTTTGTGCATGTACATACAAATGCGGGTGTATCACACAAATACACACACACAAAATTTACGTATGGGCTACAATTCTAAAAGTTGGTTTGCACTTCAAAAAATATGCTCACCTGTAATTCTGCTTGACAGTGTCAGTTACTCTAGATCATGGACAGTCTTAATTTATGAGACAACTTAAGAGTGCTTGTTTACTCACACCCTCACTGGTACAGTATGTTAATAAACTTCCTGGGTTTTACTATACTGAAAAATATACTGGCATTTCATTTAAATTTTAAATTATATTTTATTAAAAATGAAATCAAGTTCTTATGTTTAATAGTCATTTCTATTTCCTTGTCCATGAACTCTGTTTATATTCTTTGCCCATTTTTACTATTGTTTTGTTGTCTTACCAATTTCTGGGCACACTTCCATTATTATTAAATTTATCCTTGTTTATGAATTGAAAGTATTTTCCCAGAATACTTTGATGTCCTTTTTTTTTTTTTTTTAAAGATTTATTTATTTATACAAGCACAGGGTACAGTCAGAAGCGCGGGAGGGTGAGAGAATTCACCAGAGTCAGAGCGGGGAGGAGAACAGTCAGATTGACAAAGTACACTGCTGAGGGGAGCAGCGGGCGCTGCAGGAGAGGTCTGCACGCCATGTGGGACCCTCGCCGGCAGGGATCGAACTGTCGATACAGAGGCTGCGGGCAGCTTCACAGCCCAGAGCTCAACCGCCGCGCCACCAGAGAGGTCCAATGTCCTTTTTAAAATAATTTTTTTAAATAAAAATTTTAATTTTTTAGAGCAGTTTTAAATTCACATTTAAATAAGGGGAAGGTACAGGGATGTCCCATGTACTCCCTGTCCTTACACATATATAGTCTCGACCATTATGACCACCCCTCTGGTCATAATGGACCATCCCCCATTATGACCCTGAGGACATACCACCTCACACTGCAGTGGGACATTTGTTCTAACTGATGAACCTATACTTACATATCACAAATACCCAAAGTCCATATTTTATATTGTGATTCACTCTTGGTGCTGTGTTCTCTGGATGCGAACAAATGTACAATGATATGCACCTATATTAACGATCATTTTCATGGCTTTTTAGTGATGAATAGTTCATGGTCAGGATGTACCAGTTTATATTCATTCACCTATTGAAGGACATCTTGGTTGTTTCCAGATTTTAGTAATTATTATTAGAACTACCTGCATAAAATCCTTATGCAGATTTTTGAATGGACATAAATTTTCAGTTTCTTTGGGTAAATAGCAAGGACTGAGATTTGCTGGGTCATATGGTAAGAGCATGTTTAATTTCATACAAAACCACCAAACATGGTTATATCATGTTGCATTCCCACTAGTCATGAATGAAAGTACCTGTTCTAATCCTCACTAGCACCTAGTGCTGTCAGTATTCTGCATTTTGGTCATTTCAGTAACTGTGTAGTGATAGCTCACTGTTGTTTTAACTTGCATATCCCTAATGACATATGACATGGAGGATCTTTTCATATGCTTATTTGCCATCTGTATATCCTCTTTGGTGAGTTATGTGTTAAAAGGTCTTCGGTCCATTTTTTTAAAAGGGATTCTTTATATTTTCTACTGTTAAGTTTTTTTTTTTTCTAAACAACATAGAATTTTTTTTTTAATTTAATTTAATTTATTTATACATGCACTGGGTACAGTCAGAAGCACGGGAGGGCGAGAGGACTCACCAGAAGAGCCAGAGCAGGGAACAGAACAGGCAGACTGACGAAATACACTGCTGAGGGGAGCAGCGGGCGGAAGGAGAGGTCTGCGCGCCACATGGGACCCTCGCCTAGCAGCCGGGGATCGAACCGGTGCTGCAGAGGCTGCCGGCAGCTTCGCAACCCAACGCTCAACCACTGCGCCACCAGGGAGACCCTCTACTGTTAAGTTTTAAGAGTTCTTTGTATATTTGAATAAAAGTCTTTTATCAGATGTCTCTTTTGCAACAGTCTGTGTCTTATCTTCTCACTTTCTTGTTACTGTCTTTTGCAGAACATAAGATTTTAACTGTAATGAAGGACAGCTCATGAACTGTGCTTTTGCTGCTATATCCCCAGGCCCTTTTAGAATCTTTACTGCCCTAACAGTGTGAAAATACAATAACACTGTTCAGTGTTCCTTATCTGAAGGGGAAACATTCCAAGACCCCTAGTTGATGCTTGAAGCTGTGATACATTGGACCCTACATAAACTACATTTTTTCTTATACAAATATACCTATGATAAAGTTTAACTATAAATTAGGCACAATCAGAGGTTAACAACGATAAAAATGAAACTAACAATAACTATTGTAATTAAAGTTATGTGAATATGGTCTCTCAAAAATCTTATTTTATGTAGTATTTTTGAACTACAGTTGACCATGGGTAACTCCAAGTGTGGCTGGAGTGGAACCACAACAAGGGGACTACTGTACATTAACTATTCTTTTAAAAATTTCTTCACAACTTGTGACTGTAAGTCCAGCATACTTTCACATATTCCCATAGTATACAGAATGTCTTAAATTTCTCATTCTCATTTTGATTTTTAAAAATGCACAAAACAAAGCCCATAACAAAGTTCCACTACCACATTAAAACATCTGTTATTACTCACCAGGGTGTCCCTGCTGGTGTAATGTACCATCCACCCTTCCTTCACCATGGTGCTGCTCTTCCTCTTTGTGTGCTTGATGGATTGTACAACCCTCATTAGTGGAATATTATTGCTTGTTGATGGACTAAAAAATATTTAAAATCATAATAAATACTAATAATTTCCATTAAAAGATACAATAAGCTCACTATGATTTTTTAAAGAAAATGGGGCAAAAAATTTCCAAAATACTTTAGAGGAAGATAAAAAACGGGTTAAGAAAATGAATTAGGGCCTCCCTGGTGGCCTAGGGGATACATCTCAGCACTATCACTGCTATGGCCTTAGTTCGATACCCGGCCAGGGAGCTAACCCACATATGGTGCTGGAGACCTCTCCGTTCCCACCCGCTACTCCCCTCAGCAGTGTATTTGGTAGAGCCTCCTGTTCTGCTCCCCACTCTGTCTCTGGTGAATCCTCTCAAGTCCCGCAAGTCTGGCCGACACCCCAGTTCTTCTATGCAAAAATAAAATCTTTTCTGAAAAGCTAAAATTCATCCTGTTATGAAGATATATTGTTGCTTATAAAAGACTAAGATAACACTGCAAGTCCTCATTATTTGTCATGAATATTTTCTGGAGGACCACGTAAAGAAATGAACAGAGCAGAAAGTAACCTCCCAAACTCTAAGATCTGGAGCCTGGGAGACAGTCCCATAGTATTGACAGTGCAGTCATCCTGCAGTAGGTAGCATGATAAATTAATGTACTAATTTGTTACAAAGCAAAAAAAAAAAAAAACCCGTACCTAAGTCCACATGATTCAAATGTCAAATGTTTTCAACTAGTTAGTAAGAAGCCCTGCTAATAGAAAATATTAAAAAAGAAAATGATTTATAGATATTAATTAAGAAAATAATCAAATAATGGAATGAGTCAAATCAGGTAACACTGAAATATGGATTAGTAACAATGTAGTTAAAGAGAGCAACTTGGGGGAAGTATACTATTTTCAATCTGAGGTTCAAACAGTTAAATACCTTTTCTGAAATTTGAAGTATCCATGCTTAAGAAACTAGTTAAGTTCTCCTAATCTCCACATTGGATAAATATTAAGTTTTCGTTAATTTAATGATAAGCTATAATTTAATGATAAGTGAAACTAAAATAAATGACAACTCAAGAATTAGATTAATAAATGACCTATTTCCTCTAAGTACTTCTTAATTGCCAATGAAAAACAAAACCCGCCAAACTATTGACATTTTATTACAAAAGAGTACATCCTATAGGACTGAATATAAAAAACCTGAATTTCTATAAATACAGAGTGACATTTAAAACAGTTTTAACCCAACAGCATTTTTTACAAAATGCTAGCAGATTAATTACAGTAATATAATAGCTATCCTCAAATTTGTCAGCACCATCTTTGTGTAACATTCTCAAGAAGTTTCTACCACCAAGTAATCTGCCTTCGTGAAGAAACTGGCTGCCTTAACAGCTGATGGCTCAACCTGCACCTTGTGGTGGCTGCTCTACAGCTATATATTTTAGCTACAAGCAGAGCATTTTTTCTTTTTAAGAAAACAAGGATTCTCAGACCCATGTTGGGTGGATGACAGTGATATGATTGATTTTCAGAAATACTAAATACTGTAGTGCATGTAAAAGAGTCACAATATAATCTGGTTATAAATTACACTTTACGCTAAACTTAGAAGTGTGGCCTTTTCTTTCTTCATGATGCTCCTGAACTAACGTTATATTTGGAAGTAACTTGCAACACCAGCATTACCTGATTGTTTTAACAGTTTCTTCATCTTTTTCTACATCAAGATCGGATGGATCCAGGAAGAACATTTTATCTTCTGGGGGAGATGGTTCTTCTGTGTCATCCAAGCCCCGACTACCATCACTGTTCATGTCACTACTGTCAATATCCATTGGTATATCTGCATCTGTTCCCAGACTGGAAGGTTCTGGAAAGTTTTAAATTTATTTCAGAGTTTAACATTAATGAGCTATCAATACATCTAGGTGGAGATAGTTTACTAACTGTGAAAAGCTTTAAAACTCTCAAATGGAAATATAAGAAAGAAGACTATCTTAAGGAAGATATTAAATGCACAAACTGTAAGGCAGAAAATTAAATAATTTGATTACACAGGAATTTTAAATTTCTATATGACAAAAGATATTACAAGCAAAGTAAAAGATTATCCACTACTATTACATCTATGGTCAACTGATTTTTTTCACTAGGGTCTAAGAAAATTCAGTGGAAAAGAACAGTCTTTCAAATAAATGGCACAACAATTGGATATCTAGATGCAAAGAAAAGAAACTAGACCTCTGTAATTTAATAATCATTCTACTTAATATTATCTTGACAAGAGAAAAAAATGGCAAAAGAGGGAAAATGTTTAGCTAATGATTATTTGTTGGAGAAATACCAGTGAGACAGTACAATGTGTTCTAATGACTATTATGGACTAAGAAGCTAGAACATATGGGTTCAAATTCCAGCTGTACCACTTATTGGCTGTGTTAAGGAACACAAGATTTAATGTCTTTGTGCCTAAGTTTACTCATCTGTAAGTACTTACTCAAAGGATTGTTCTTAAGTATAAATGTCAATATATATGATGTGTTTAGAACAGTAGCTGGCATGTAATAAGCAGTAAGTATCAGTACTATGAAAGTGTTTTAGGGACAACAGCATGGATTTACAGTAAATCTTTCATGTCTGAGGATGAGAGTGGACATGCAGCACTACTGGAAATATCAGACAACACAGTGGGAGATAGCTGGAGGAACACCACAGAGGCATATAGCAAAAGTGTACCATCACTAAAGTCTGCATTTCCCTTGATTAGTAAAATTAAATCAGAAAAAAAAAAAAAAAAAAAAAAAAAAACAGGTCAAAGGAAAAAAGCAAAGTAAGCAAATATGACCTTGTACAAACATAATATACAAAAGAATTGTGAATTTTTCTGATCTTTCATGAAAATTAAGAAAAAGATTTTTTGGGCATCCCGAGTGGCACAGGTGGTTGAGTATAATAGCACTGCAAAGCTGTCCGCAGCCTCCACAATGCGTGGGTTCAATCCCAGCCAGCAGGGGAGATACCTGGGAGATACCCACATGGCACATCAGACCTCTCCTGTCACACCCACTGCTCCCCCTCAGCAGTGCATTTCAGTCAGTCTGCCTGTTCTGTTCCCCGCTCTGTCTCTGGTGAATCCTCTCACCCTCCTGCACATCTGGCCTATACTCCAGTTCTTGTATGCATGAATAAATAAATCTTAAAAAAAAAAAAAAGAAAAGAAAAAGAATTTTACCTCCATTGAAAGTAACCTCTCCAAGGCAATCTCTTGGCACTTTTGATGCACAGCGTTTATGGCAGTTGAATTTACAATCTAAAATAAAATATTTGGCTAATAAGTTTATGGAAGAACACTGAGGCAATACTGACATGATTTAGACACTTCCATTAAATCATTCACAATTAGAATAATGTTAGTAATAATGATGAGGTGTTAACATAAGAAAAGTCTTCCTCTAATAAGAACTCAGGTCTTAAACTGAAGGTTGGTTTCAAATCCTGACATCATTTCTAAGAGTTGTTTCAACTCATCAGAGTTCAGTTTCTTTATAAAATGAAACTAATGCTATTTGTATTAACACTTTGCCAAAACGTTGCCGGCAGCTTCATGTTTCTTTTCCTTACCCCACATTCATCTTTCTATATCCCTCCTAAGTTTCTCATGCTGATTAAATTTTTCAACATATGTTTTACACTTACTTTTAAAACCTGAGTATTAGAGCCTGATGCGTATGCAGAAAAGGTACTGAGATTCCACAGCCATTTATTAGGCATTAGTAAGGGTTTTCCCTTACAATCCTGTGAGGAAGGAATGAGCTGCTTATGCACAAGTTCTCCCACTTGTACATTATGGTTCTCCTCTGCCTGCAAAAGCCTTAGAGTTAATAACACTGGAGATCAGCATCAGATGTAAGCTGTGTAACACTAGTGTATAATTCAGTAGTTCTCAGTGATGCCAGGGCCAACTGTACCAGCATTAATTGAAAATTTGTCAGAAATGAAAATTCTTGGGCCTCACCCCAGACCTACTACCTAGGCAACTCTGGGAGCGAGGCTGAGAAATATGTTTTAATAACTTCTTTAGGTGACACTAAAATTGAGACCCATTGCTCTAACTACTGTCTAAAACCACCTTTGAAATATATCTGCCAGTAATAACTGGGTGAAAGTAACTTCAAGTCTTGACTTAGAATGTTTTGTGACCTCTGTGATTCAAGAAATTCTGGGTATCATGCCTATAGCACAGGGTAAAGTTCATTATAAAGAAAAAGTCCCACAAGGAGAATAATTTGGGGGATGATAATTTGTATTATATATATATACACTATATTTTTAAATGAAAGGAACTAGGAAAAACCATATATGCTATTAATAATAGCATTTTGCATATATTTTAAATAATTTATTTTTTTTACTTCATGACGTTTGCAAATTATGAAAATAACAAGGTTTCCTCTGTCCCTTTGTAAATCCAGTCAAGTTTATGGCCTACCTGCAGCTAGTATGTAGGTTCTTCTAATGGTAGAAATTTTTATTTCTGTGTTCCTACTCCTGTTTTTCTTAACTATTTATGCTATCTTATATTTCATAAATTCTTTCAGGCTGTTTTGAAATTTTTATATAACAAAGTAAAAAATAAACACAGGTGAATACATAGCAGTTCTTGGAGCTGAACATTGTCTCAAAAGATCCAGCATAACTTTTATTTTAAACAAAGTATTTCCTTCTTTTTTCTTAGCTTGACAAGTGAATAATAACTCATATTACAAAAATACAGAAACCACTGTAGTAAATTATGATTCTGACTGATAATGAAAGTAGCTTTATGTAGAAATAATAATGGGCTACTTTCTAACCAATATAAGCACAGAACATTTCTTTTAGAGCTATAAGAAGTTAAACTAGTAACTCGGTGGCAGAGTTAATTGTTTTTATTTAAAAATTCACTTATCTGCATATTTTAGTTCCTCTATAAAATATTATACTTTTTCTGAATATGATTTTTAGAATTTTCCCATTCTGTTTAGCAGAACAGCGCTATTTACTACCTTTACTAAGATTATCTGTTGACTAGAATTTGTACATCTGTTATTGTTCTTTCCAAAACATTCCTTAGTGGCTGCTTGCCAATACCCTTGTGTTGATATTTTAAAGTATTAATTTATACATTAACTCATAATCAAAAGTAAGCTATTGAAATAAAATTTCAACATTTAGTTATGTCTCTCTGATAGTTTCTCAATACCTAATAAGTGTACAACCTGTTCTCAATTTGATGCTCTATATGTTGCCATAGATTGCCAGGAAAAGCTTTATTTTCTTTCCCTATTTAAATTTATATACAATTATTTGATTGTTTTATAAACAGAATTTATTGTAGCAAAGATATAAACTCTAAAGTTTTAGATAAAACTTAGTAATTCAATTCCACAAATATTTCTACTATATAAAATGAAGTATGATTCCACTATAATTGTAGTTATAGTTAAAATAATTATTTAAAAAATCAATACAATAGTTAAGACTATTTCTAACTTTATATCGCTCAATAAGTAAAAGCACTAACTCCATTTCAGTTTTCACTCTGTTACACAGTATAACTGAAAAGACATGAGACAAAAAGACAAACTTTTAAAAAATATAAAAACATCATACAACTGGGCCTCCCTGGTGGCACAAGGGGTTAAGATGCAACCTATGAAGCTGTCCGCAGCCACTGCAGCACAAGTTCGATCCCTGGCCAGGGAGCTATCCACATGGTGCAGCAGACCTCTCCTGACTTGACCGCTGCTCTCCTCAGCAGTGTATTTTAGTCAATCCGCCTGTTCTATTCCCCACTCTGTCTCTGGTGAATCCTCTCACCACCCACACCTCTGGCCTGTACTCCAGTTCTTGTATGCATAAATAAATAAATCTTTGAAGAAAAAAAAATTATACAACTAGAGGGAAAAGTTATTCCATTATAAATCTGGTTCATTAAAATATGTTTTTGGAATACTATGATAGTGGGCTGTGTTAGTATATAAATCTGGTGGCTCCTATTATGATTTTAGTGGTTTCCACTATATTCTACCTTTGGAATGAGTTTTCGTATAGCTTTCCAAGTTACACAAATAAAAACAAAGACAAAAAACTCTTGTGATATCTTTACGTGTGTAAATATTTAGTGAAAAGAAGCAAGCATTTTATTATATTTGGATAGTGTCTGGCTCTGGAATCAGAGATTTAAGCTCAAGTATTAGCTTACCTGCTTACTAATCATACTATACTAACAAGTGTTAAACAACCACACCTCATAGTTCCAAATTCCAGTTTTTCTGTTTGTATTCTAGTTTTTTGTGAGCATAGCTCTTTGTACAAAGTACACATATTGCAGACAGTAGCAGTAGTTGCTATAAAAACATGTGTTGTAGAGACGTCATCATCATGGCGGCGAGGAAACGCTGCAAGTAAGACCTCCCATAAAAAAAAGTTAATAGGGAGGAAAAGCGGCAGGTCCCTGCGAGAACTGGGACACGGAAGTTAAATGGGCAACTCTGGCAAACTGCCCAAAGAAGAAAGTTGCCATAAAAGAGGACTAGAAGGGAGGAAAGCTCAGAACCCTGCTACCCTCCCCCACCCAAAAAGTCAGCACTCTCCAACCAACAGAAAGGACGAAAAAAAAAAAACTAAAATAAAAACATGTGTTGTATATTTTCTTTCTTTTTTTAAGTTAGCTAAGAGACTAATTCTTTCTCTAATGCTTCTGAAATTTGAATATTTTATGCCTGTATTTGTTAACAAAAACAGATCTGAATTTTACCTAAGGAAAACATCCAGTCCTACCTTTACATTGCATTCCTTGGCGGAAAAGGCCTTTCAGTAACCGCTTGCAGTACTGACAAATTGTGGGACGGGCATAAGAGTGAACAGCAAATGTATGTGGAACTTTTACTCTGCACATTACCATCTTTTCCATCCAAATTGGGCGACCACTCCAAGAAGGAATTCTCTTACTTGGTTCCTGGTGAACATGTGACTGAAACAGAAGTGATTTCCATAAATGTAAGTCAATATTAAAAGCAAAGTATTAAGAGAGGACTTGACCACAAATGTCATTTATTTCAAACACTGAAGCCAAAAATCCAAAAATGTGGATGTGAGCAATTTCCTTTAAAGCTTAACTTACCAACCCTTGAATGAGAAAGTGCAGAATATTTTTGCTATTATTTATGCTAAAAAAATTGAAGATACTTCCATATCTTCACAAATACATATTTACTGATTATTATTTGCCAGGCACATATGGCATTTTACAAATAAAAAAACAAAACCCTTAAAATGAATTTAGAGCAGATGTTCAAATCTCTTTAAAAACTTTACAAGGAATTAATCAAAGGAAAAGTAAATATGTTCACAAAGTGTTGGTGCTGCTCATGTTGATTTACTAAACATGATGTCTGAAATATTTCAAAATGTCTTAGTTTTTCAAATTTATTTTAACAAATACTAAAGTATTTATGTAAACACTTAACATTAAGGAACGATGATATAAATAATGGCAGTTATAAAACTAACTAAAACAACGTTAGTCCCAGTAATTATAAATTCCTTGATATTTTAAGCATTTTCTAGTTGCTTGGGCTCCCCTCAGATGTACAAAAGAAAAATTTAAAAAGGTGTTTATTAAAACTTTTTACGTAACCTGAAGGGTAAGTGCATTTTTGTAACTATGGTACTTTCTACACAAAGAAAATAAACTAAGTTATAGGCTAGTTCAATATGGCCCATTCCATTCATTTAAGTTATGCTGCTATTCTATACCAGGCCCTACACTATGGATTAGACATTAAAAAAAGTAAATTACAACACAGTCCATGTTCTCAGCACAAAATCCAAACTACCATATGGATATAGCAGAGATTTTGTTACAGCTGCCTGCACTTTCACTGTCAGAACTGAGTTCCTGAGGTGCTTCACATGTCTTCTATAACTAGTAAGTAATGTATGTAACTCAGAGAAGTTGAGTCATAAGTATGTTCAACTAGCAGGAGCAAAACAAGTCAGAAGAAACCAAGAGACAAAGAAGTGTAAGGAAAAAGTAAGAGGAAGAGGGGAAAAAACTTTTGAAAAAAGTTGGAAGAAAAAAAGGACAAATGAATGGAGAGCACAATAAAGAACACAAATATAGCCTCTGATAGTTTTTATTAATGTGCAGTCAGAAAATTTCTAAAATGAACTATGAAACAGTTCAGCACCAGAAAAAATAAAAAAGAATGATAAAACCCAAACCAAACTTGTATGTTTCGGCTGTTCAAGGGGTCCTGCTCTAGTCTGGTTCACCCATCCTTCACACTGCGATGTGTAGAACACCTTCAGCAAATTCTGCAAAGCTAACAAAGCAGTCAGCAGGAATGTGAACCAGATGTTTTAGGCCTCTGTTCATCCCTGGCTCCCTATTTCAGTGGTGACTCAACACTCAGTTTCTCTTAATCCTCCTCCTATCACTTTCAGTTTGTCTCCAGGCTTAAAACATAAAAGATAGACTAAGAATGATTTAGCTAGGTATCATCAAATATATGATACCCCTGTAAGGAAGATCTTTCATAAATAATAACAGATACCTTCATAAACCAAAAGCCAATTAGTGATTGTCTTTTGTCAGGTCTTGCTGGGGTTGGAGTAGAAGAGACATAGTACAGAGCAAGTGTGTGAGAACTACTCAGGGGAAGGTGGTTGTAGCAATTGCCTAAGTTTTCATGTCCAGTACAAATAGTTATTTATGTTACTCTCCTTATGTTAATATGACAAAACAGGCTCCAGATGCTAGTATTAAAATAAAAACATAGGCCTCCCTGGTGGCGCAAGGGGTTAAGATGCAAGCAGTCCACAGCCACTGAAGCACGAGTTCCATCCCCAGCCAGCCTGGGAGCTACCCACATGGTGCAGCAGACCTCTCCTGACTCGCCAACTGCTCTCCTCAGCAGTGTATTTCAGTCAGTCTGCCTGTTCTGTTCCCTGCTCTGTCTCTGGTGAATCCTCTCACCACCCCCCCACCTCTGGCCTGTACCCCAGTTCTTGCATGCATAAATAAATCTTTAAAAAAATAAAATGAAAACATAAACCTAGGTATTGGATAGTGCAGTCTTAATACTTCCCCCCACCTCCTTCTCAACACATCTGTGCATATACCACAATCTTATCAGTAACAGTGGTTACTGAGTACTGAGTGGGGAATGCAGGAAAGACAGTAGACTTAATCAGAATTTGGAAGGAGGAGGAGGAGGTTGATAGAATTGTATTTAGAGCACTTGGTGAAAATGGGACCACTGAGATAATGAATGAAAGTTCTTTCCTTGTTTTAATGTCCCCTTTTTACAAATTATTTTCTTATTAATATATATAATATCACAATATATATCAATATATTAAAGTACAGCTAGAAATTTTGTAAGTTATTTCTTCATAGCAAACTAATATTTGAAGTAACCCCTCACAAAAAACTTTATAATTTATAATAATATTGCTCTCAATAATAAAGAATGAAGGAAACAGAATTTTAAGAGACAATTCCTAAAATACATATAGCAGTTCCTCAATAACATTTTTCCAAACATTTTGTTACTTTAATGTTGATGAGAAGAAATCCCAATGTTGAACAAAACATTATTCAAAACATTATTTGAGCATCTGCTCTCATTATGTGTCTTTTCAGTTTCCAAGATCAGCAATCAGCAATGACAGAATTTACTGTACATATGACTTTGGAATATTACTAAGGGAAAAATCTCAACCTTCATGCACACATTTAGACCCAACGGTTTCTTCTAGTCTATTTCTCTCCTATTCTGCCCCCACAGGAATTTTCCCCAATGTACCAGATATTTGTCTTTCTCATCTCCAAATAGCCATCACTTAATTCCGGTTTCTCTAATCTTGGTGGTCCCATTTTAACCAGCTTCAATGACAACTATCTTCTACTCCACCATCATTCTACTTGACTACCTTTAGAGTGACTTCTGATACTGCAACAGAAATTGCCTTCTTATGTGTAAAGGATGAAAATCCCAGCATTAGATTCAAAGGTTTCTACTCCCAACTGGTCCTTTTTCAAGTTTATCTCAGTATTCAGTGATGTTTAAAGTCTTAGATCCTTAGAAACTTTTCTTTCTCATTTCTTATCTATGAAATTAGGATAATTTCTATACCTTTCTGAAATGTACCAACGATTACACAAGAAAAGATAAGAATGCATGAAGTCGGGCACATGAAACTTAGGAGACTCTTATTGTGCAGTAACTTGGAATTAGTTCTCTAACCATGATTCAGATCTGAGGCTGCGCTCATCTCCTTATCGCTAACTCCCCCATTCCTCTGATTTTTCTCCTTGAGTCTTCTTTTTTACCTCCTTCATTTTTAACACTGCAGGCTTGGACTGACAAGAGTAGCATTTATAAGAGACATTCAACTCAATAATTTCTATTTGTTCTACAATACTACAACAATCTAACCAAGTCAAACACATTAATCTACACCTTATATTGCCTAAAGAATTTTCATCTTCAAAATAAAACATAAACTAATGTATTGAATGTACTAATATATTAAAATGTAATACCCTATACACCTGTTCTGTCCTGCTATTTCCTAATCTATTAAGAATCGATGGGGTCACTGGCATGCCAGTATCATTTGTGAGGTTCTTAAACCAACACAACTCTGATAGTTCCTTTTCCCACAGAGTTCACTATATAAAAATGCAGTGACTTTACTATTACCAATCTTTCTCAAACTCTTGTTTATTTTTATTTCTCTGCTGTCAGTTCCTTACAGCACAATTATTTTACTTTAAAAATCTTATACTAGGGTAAGAAATATGAGATTTCTGTGAAAGAATTACAGAAGCTTTTATTCTCATTTTTTAGTTTAGCAAATCTTATAATTAGTGTTGTCAAGACAATAGTCCAAAAGCTTAATTTTGCCATTAATTTACAGAAGACCAAAGAGGTTATCAAAAATAGCTAAATGGTAAGATTGCAATCAATGTATGAAAGTCATTTTTAGTTCTCGCCCATGAACAAGAAAGTTGTTTCTTTCTTCCTTGATCTACTTACTATCTTTGCCCTTGAGGGGTATAATATATTAAGAAAAGTCATTGACCTAAAATTAATGAGATCTGGATTTAATTCTATTTAATTCTAATTGTTTACTAATGTACTCTGTGACTTCACAGCCACTTATGTCCTGAGTCTCAACTGTGTCACCATATACACATATATTGATTTATCTCACTGAAATATTGCAAGGATCTCTAGGGTCATTCACTCATTCATTCATTCATCAATGAATACCTACTAAGTATAAAGGATTATCTAAATAGATGATAGCATATAAATAGATGTCCTTCTTGAGGACAACCTATTACACCAACACTGTGATATTAGATAGAATGCTATACATACCATTAGGGAGATTAGAAAAGGGTTAAAGGGTTATGGCATTCAGAAAATAAAATAACTTCTACATAAGGGGAAAATCAGGAAAGGTTGCTATTGAGCTAGGTCTGGGAAAAAAGCATGTAAGATGATCTCCAGCAAGAGTAAAGGTAGGGGCCTCCCCGGTGGAGCAAGGGGTTAAGCACAGCACTGTGAAGCTAATCGCTGTCTTTGCAGCACGATTTGGATCCCCAGCCAGCCAAGGAGCTACCCACATGGCGCAGCAGACCTCTCTTGTCTCACCCACTGCTCTCCTCAGCAGTGTATTTCAGTAAGTCTGCCTGTTCTGTTCCCCACTCTGGTGAATCCTGCACTTCTGGCCTGTACCCCAGTGCTTTTTTTTTTTTTTAAGATTTATTTATTTATACAAGCACTGGGTACAGTCAGAAGCGTGGGAGGGTGAGAGAATTCACCAGAGCCAGAGCGGGGAGCAGAGCAGGCAGAAGGACTGAAGCACACTGCTGAGGGGAGCAGCGGGTGGCAGGAGAGGTCTGCGCGCCATGTGGGACCCTCCTTTGGTGGCTGGGGAGCAGCCGGGGATCGAACCGGCACTGCAGAGGCTGCGGGCAGCTTCGCAACCCAGCGCTCAACTGCTGCGCCACCAGGGAGGCCCTGTACCCCAGTTCTTAAATGTAAAAATAAGTAAATCTTAAAAAAAAAAAAAAGAGTAAAGGTAGGATGAATACTTATGTATTCAGGGAATGCTGAATAGTACAGACTGTGGGAAACAGAATATATAAAAGTTCCTTATTGGAAGTCATATAATCAGATGTGAAGTCATATAATCAGAGTGATATGTTAACCTGCAATGTAACAAGATGAAGCTACAGTGTATAAGAGGAAGTGAGGTATGTAGACCAGGAGTCAATGTACCAGACTGGAGGCCATTGCAGTAGTCCAAGTAACATGACCCCAAAGTACACAAAAAGTCATTCATTACTACTGGTAAGTCCTGTCTCCTTTAGCACATTTTAAGTTTTAAAGTACAGTAATGTTACTATTCTTTCATATATAACTTATGTACAAGAACATCACATGTACTGTAGAAACATAAGAAATAAGTAACAAAATGTGCTTTTATTGCCTTAGAACACATACCTCTTCAGTGGGAAGGGCCACACATTCAGTTTGTAGCGGTCTTGGAACAGAGAGGCCAGGTCCTGGCAGAGATACATTTGACAGACGTCTCTTTCTTACTCCACTACAGTTATTTGGAATCTTGAAGGCACATCGTTTATGATAATTTAATCCACAGCCTAAATATATTTTAAAAGGTAAAAAAATTATTAATCAATTAAAAAAACTGTACTATACAAGTGTGTTACAAAAAAAAGGTCTTTCTTATTTATTTTCTCTGACAGCAAAAGAGACCTTAATTAAGAACCCAAATGGTAGGTTAAGCAGAAGTTAACAAATTGAAGAGCAGAAATGTGTAGAAAGTTTTATTTAGAAAATTTAAATTAACTATAGCAGTGTTTCTTTACGAGCTTTCCCAAAGGCATCACCTAAAAATATGTTAGAAACGTAAATTATTGGGTCTTATGCTAGACATACTGAATCAGAAAACTAGGGGAATAGGATGAAGCAAAACATGTTTTAACACATCCTCATGGTGATTCTTATAAATAGCAAAGTTTGAGAACTACTGACTTAATGCACTTTATCAAACTGCAGCCTGTTTAACAAATCCCTCCCATGACATGTGAGGATTATATGAAATTCATAAATAATTTTTATTGGAACACAGAATATTCATTTATTTATATTTTATCTATGTCTACTTTCACAATACAACAGCAGAGTTAAGTAGTTGTAACAACGTGGGAGCAAAACTTAAAATACTGAATTCTCTTGCCCTTCACAGAAAAATCTTATTGACCCTCCATCTTAGAGGACTGTTTGTTAATCAGAAATATACACCTGTACCCTACTCACTAGCAATTCTAGTTCAGAAGAAGTTTGCTATTGTTTAAGACATTTTAAAAAGATAGTAAGGAAGTTAATATTTATTAAGCCACTATTCAGTGCCAACTATTTTATCCATGTTACCTTCTTTAACCATTATTCTTCATACAGTGGGGGAGAATACATTTCATAGACAGAACACAACTCTCAAAGAGGTTTAGTAAAGCTGCCTAAGAAAAATACTGAACAGGGCCTGCCTGGTGGGGCAAGGGGTTAAGATGCAACCCATGAAGCTATCCGCAGCCACTGCAGCACGAGTTCGATCCCCAGCCAGGGAGATACCCACATGGCATGGCAGACCTCTCCTGACTCACCCACTGCTTACCTCAGCAGTGTATTTCAGTCAATCTGCCTGTTCTGTTTCCCACTGTATCTCCGGTGAATCCTCTCACCCACCCCCACCCCATCTCTGGCCTGTACCCCCATTTTTGTATGCATAAATAAATAAATCTTAAAAAAAAAAAAAAGAAAAATACTGAACAGTAAAATGGCAGAGAATGCACCAGAGTCTAGATCTCTATAACTCTAACCGTAGTCATGTTCTTTCAGTGATGATTAAAAAATGCAAATATGAATTTTATTCCAAGTGACACAAAAGTTTAGAACACATACCTTCACATTTCAGTCCCTGACGTACCAATCCCCAGAGCATCTCACCACAATAATCACAGAAAGTAGGAGCTTTGTAAGAATGTACATAAAGAGCATGTGGACGAATCTGGAAATCTTCTACAGTGGCCAAAGCTTTTACAAAAAGAAAAGTATTAAAAGAAACACTGTATTTACAACTGCAATGAGATTAAGAACACTGATCATGTTTGTTTATGTTGGAGTACACAGAATCATTTTTTTCTTTGAAAGTTTCATCTGATCATAATATAAATTACTTTCTTCATTTAATCTATGGTTTTAAGATCTATTTTAGGAAGCTCATCAGCTTCAAATAATATGAGCTTTAAATGCAGGTTTGTAGGTAGGTATTTCAAAAGTATTTTCTTCTAGTTATAAGATTGCAATAATTAGGTCTATCTTGGCTAAATGAAAATATTTTAACTTATACTGGGAAATAGAACACTGAAGTTAAAAAACAAAACAACGCCATGAATCTGTGTAATGTAATCTCAGTTTATGGCAAAGTTTCTATTAGAAATGTACTGAATTCTAATTTAGGATCCCAGAATACACTCTGTCTCTTCTCCATAGTCCTTATGGTGAAGAAAAAGAGAATCCTCTAGACCGCTGTGAGCAGAGACAGCAGACACATCTACTAGTAGACATCGCTCACCTCTGCTTACAAATCATTAGTGGATGTCCTTTTGGCCTGATGAGGGTCCACAGCAAAGATGCAATGGAGGTGAGCATGACCTCCATGGAAGACAGGGTTTGGGAAGTGTAGATGTTTGGGGTTGTGGTACAGAAGATGAATGATCAATGTGGGGGTTAAAAGAACAGGAAGGATCGGGGATTTATAGGAAAGGTGATGGTCAGGGATCTCATTAACAGCCTACAAAGATGAATATGAGGAAAGGAAAATAAAGTAGTGGGCTTCTTTCCCTTTCTTCTCTTCCCTCCATCCCTTCTTTGCTGCTAAACAAGATGTGTGGGCCTACTATGTATGAGTCCTTACACTCCTCATTAACAATCCTGACTATATGCTTTCTGAGGAGATTGAAAACAGCAGGAGCTAAGGAACAATAACAAGAATGAATGAGAGGAGGAAAGGAGAAAGCTAAGTAAATCCCCACTGCAAAAAGAGGAGTATTTTTTAGCCATGGAAACAAAGAGCATTGCAGTTTCCTCTTCGGTATCTTCATTATTTCTTATTTTCCCCTCATTTTCTTTGCTCAACCCTAATTCTCTTCTTCTATGTTCTTTAAAGAAAAGAGGAAAGAAGAGAATTTCAATGTAATAGTTTTATTTCTTTGACTCAAAAAAGCATATATTCCTCTTTCAGTTCAACTGAGAATTTCCTTAGCTTAGTAACATTCAAATAAATAATTTAGAGCTTATTTTCCTACTTTCTCATCTATGATCTAAACCTTTCTGAAAGTACAAATCACATGATAACCATTATTATAGATCAAAGTAAGCAACTGTTAAAAAAAAAAAGCAACTGTAATACAAAGACTGAGTATAATTGAATATAATAGTACTTAGTACAAAAAATGGCTCATTGGGACAAAAAAAAAGCTACTTACCTGAAAGAACAACTTCTACTAGGTCTCCTTCATGTATTTCATCTGCTGAGGTAATCAGCTGCAAAATATTTTCTGAATTCATGTCATGGCGAAAGAGGAGAATTTTGTCATACATGCCAAAGAATCCACACTCCGGAAACTGTAAGATAATAGTCCTACATCAGTATATCCATAGTTCCCTCCTTTTATAAATTACTGTTTCAATGCTATGAAAGAATGAAAGACTTTTAAACACAGTGTTTTAGCCTAAGATTGTATTTTTGCTAACAATTCTATTTATACCCTAAGATCAACCACGTACTCAAGCATCCTACTTAATTTATAAGTTCAGAAACACAAAAGTAAATTTATATAATCATGTATTACCTTAAAACACATCTCCTGGAAATATAGGATTTCTTTATTTATTGATGAACAACATAATTTCAAATGCACTGTTATCCTGTCTTTCATAGGCTGAAATAAAATCTTTCTTTCCTTTACTCTAGAAATTAGCTTCTTATATGTTTAATTACTAGTCCACATGCAACCATTTTTTTTAAAGATTTATTTATTTATGCATACAAGAACTGGGGTACAGGCCTATGACTAAAGAATAATGTGGGGGGGAGGGTAGAAAGAGGACAGAAAGGCACACAAGGAGGCAGATGGGGGCCACCAGTTAGAATTTTTTTTCCTCACAACAATTACAATGAAACAACACTGAACAAAACAGTTATTTGAGGATCTGCCACATATGAATAGGGTAGCTTTCTAGAAGTAGATTTGCTGAGTCAAAGAGTGCACAAACTGTTAGATCTTGTCAAAATGTTCTTCAAAGGGACACCTCAAAGAGAGGGTGGGGATGGCTGCAGACCACTACAATAAAGCAAATACTGCAATAAAGTCAATCACATACAATTTTTGGTTCCCAAGTACATATAAAAATCATACCTACATTACACTGTAGTCTATTAAGAGTACATGTCTACAAAAACAATGCACATACATACTTTAATTTAATGTGACACAGAAACACAATGGGTACAAAATGCTGCTTCACATGGGGTTGCCACAAACCTTTGACTTGTAAAAATAGCGCATCATTTCCAAAGTGCAATTAAGCAAAGCCCAATGAAAACAAAGTATGCCTGAAATATTCAGAGTGCTTTTTCCACATTCTATTTTATAGTGTTGTAATTAGCTCAGGATGCATAACAAAATAACACAGACTAAGTAGCTTAAACAACAACAGAAATGTATTTTCTCACATTGCTGGAAACTAAAAGTCCAAGATCATGTTACCAACAAGGTCAGGTTCCAGCAAGAGCTCTCCTCCTGGTTTACAGATAGCAGCCCTATCACTGTGGGCTCAGATGACTTTTCCTAGGAATAGGAGAGTGGGCAAAGAGACATCTCTTTCTCTTCCTCTTCTTAAAAAGCTACCGATTCTATCAGGTAAGGATCCCACCCTCATGACCTCACTTAATCTCAATTACCTCCTAAAAAGCCCTATTTCTAAATAATCACACTGGAAGACAGTCTTCACATATGAATTGTGGGGCAGGAAGGTACACAATTCAGTCCATACCAAGTATATTATCAAAATTGCTAATTCTTAGTGAAAAACGGTATTTCAGTATAATTTGACTGATAGGTCAATGAATTGATGATCTTTAAAAATTCCAAATCCAACCATTCCTTAGAATGTTTCTCATAATGTGGAGGATCCTTACTAAATCCTGAACACATCACAAAACACAAACAAAAATTCTGTATAGTTAATAGCATATTCTCAAAATTATCTGAGCCCAGTAAAATATTGCATACACAAAAAAGCTTTTTCCAAGAAAATGGTTTGTTTTCCTAAGGCAAACTTCAGTAGAATAAAGAACAAAGAAAGACTGTTTTTTCCCTTTCAATTGTAAGTTTTAAGAGGAAGAAATACTCTGGCAAACTAATGAAAACAATTCTTGATTATAATTGTGAATCATTGGGCTCCTTTCTAATTATCCTGAACCCTCAAGTCTTACCTAATAAAACGGTATATATGCTTTCTAGGCATCCTAGACTTGTGGGAAAAGAAGCTACTAGTAATACGGAACAAAAGAGCAGCAGAGGTGGTAAAATACTTAGTAACTGTCAGTAAATATCTCTGGCTAATTTTTTTCCTCTAAGGCAGTGGTTCTCAATTGGAGCAATTTTGCCCCAAGAAGATATGTGGCAATGTCTTAAGACACTTTCAGTTGTTACAGCTTAGACACTGGCATCTAATGAGTACCAACTAAGCATCCTACAATGCACAGGAAAGCCCCCAAAACAAAGAAATATCAGGGCTAAAATGCTGACAGAGCCCAAGATGAGAAACCCTGCTCTTTGGAAAAAAGGAGTCAAGACTACAGAAAGATTGGAAAATGGGCATATTTAAAAGCACTGTCAATTAAAAAGTTGACAACCATGTGAAAATGCCACATGCCCACATTTCCCTTCCTAACCTATCTAAGTATAGATTAGAAGAAAGAGGAAATGAAAGAAACAGCAAAAGAGGGCCTCCGTGGTGGTGCAGGCAGTTGAGCGATGCACTGTGAAGCTGTCCGCAGCCTCTGCCATCGTGGGTTTGATCCTGGCCAACCAGTGAGAATCCCACATGGCAAGGTAGACCTCTCCTGTCTTGCCCGCTGCATCCCCTCAGCAGTGTATTTCATCAATCTGCCTGTTCTGTTCCCCGCTCTGTCTCTGGTGAGTCCTCTCACCCTCCTGCGCATCTGGCCTGTTCTTGTACAAACAAACAAACAAATAAATAAATCTTGTATAAATAAATAAATAAATCTTGTATAAATAAATAAATAAATCTTGTATAAATAAATAAATAAATCTTGTATAAATAAATATTAAAAAAAAGAAAAAGAAAGAAAAAGATATAGCAAGACTACCACCATATAAGTACAAGCAGCCTTCCATTTGGCCTCTTTCCAAATTTCTTCATGCTTTTCTGGATTTGCCTTTTTTTTTTAAGATTTATTTATTTATGCATACAAGAACTGGGGTACAGGTCAGAGGTGTGAGGGTGAGAGGATTCACCAGAGACAGAGTGGGGAATAGAACAGGCAGATCAACTGAAACACACTGCTGAGGGGAGCAGTGGGCAAGTCAGGAGAGGTCTGCTGCGCCATGGTGGGTAGCTCCCTGGCTGGGGATCGAACTCATGCTGCAGTAGCTGTGGACAGCTTGATAGTTTGCGTCTTAACCCCTTGCGCCACCAGGGAGGCCTAGGACTTGCTTTCTATGTATTGAGCCAATGAATGCTCCTGACTGTGCAAAATGACGTTTTTCTCAGTCCAAAATGGCAATTTCATCATAAAGTCACCAAATTTTCGCTTCTTATGTGCTCTGCCCACTGCAGATTGTCTTTTAATAAGTAAAAGTTTTTAATAGTTGCAAATAAAATTCCTTCTAACAACATTATATTGAGAGTTTAATGCAGAGTTTCAAGTTAATGTCATAATTCTGTTAGTAAAAATGTTAGATGAAATATGAGTTTCAAGTTTGTAATTGTACTTGGTGAAATACAATTTTCACAGGTTAACAAGATAACTTCAAAATTTAGCATTATCGCAACTAATATTTATCACTACACATTTCTTTAAAAGGAATATAGGTTTTATTCAAGTACAATGTGAGACCACTGAAGAACGTAAATTTATGTTTATTTTACTTTGAAAAGTGTTTTAAAGTAGGAAGGTATAGTCTGTTAATCTTAATTATGAGATACACACCTACTCACCATCACCCAGGTGGAGTTACCGAACTTTCCCAGCACCACAAGTTTCTTTATATTCGCTTAATTTAAGAGAAGTCCATACCAAAGCTGTATTAAGATCTGTTACTAAGTAAATCTTCACAGCAAGTCTTTCTAAACACATGAAATAAACACATGAGGGCAAGGGTATCTACTTGCTTTTCATGTTTCCTACTGACTGCCCAGCTCATAGAACTTAGTATTTAATAGGCGCTTACTGGAAAATATTGTTAACTACTCAGCAAAGTAATTAATTTTACACTAATATATTTCCCAGAAACAAATATAAATTAACTTAATATTATTTTAAAAGTATTTAATTGAGCATAATTCAAATTACTCTTTCTAGAGACTACAGTCAATGAGAAAAGTGCTCAATGTGGACTCTGAATTTATTTACTTTTATCATGAATTTCCAACCAGAGGGGCATATCAGGGGAGCCACATCCTAACACTTGCCATTTCTCTTTCATACAAAACAGAATATAATCTTTTCTTACTTTCTATTTTCCTTGTTTAGTTATTTGTTCTGATTATCTTTTAATTCAAACTTTTGGAATGTTCTATTCTAGCAAAGGCCATAAACATTAATATCCAGCACAATTTTTTTCCTAAAAATTCATTTTTCCACGTTGATTTTCCAGGTTGATTAATGACCTGACACGATTCTGCCAAAACAAAAAATGTAGGGGTAGGGGAAAGAGTAGCATGAGATGCTTCTGCAACACAGCTGTAGAAGAATGCGACAGAAAAACAACACAGAATGACAACTGGTTTCTGGAAAACAAAAGATACAGCTGGGGTTTTCACTCTACTTTAGCAGGACCTGAAAATTACACCCAATCTATGTCTGCAGAGACAATGTATTCAGTCAAAGAAAAGACCAAAATCACTCCTAAATTAGGATACATAAGCAAAGAATCTTCAACTCTAGTGTCTGTAAATGGTGAACACTAAAGACAAATGTTTCAAATCAGCTAAAAGCAGACCGCCAGCTTCGGTTAGAATCATTTCAATTTCAGTAAACACCATTATAGCTTAAAATGAATTGCTGTCTGCCAATGTCTTTTTTCCAATTACATCTACTATGTTCATCCAACAAATTAACACAGTAGCAGCAGCATCATAGTGTTTTCTAAGCCTCTTGGCAATATGTAAGCAGGAAGGTGGAGCACTAACATTCACTGAGTGTATTTACTATGCATCAGACATTGTGCAAAAAACTTGACGTTACATAGGCTATCTATTTAATTTCCTCAAAACTCCTGAAACAAGTAACCTCAGTCCTCTAATAAAAACAACATTTGATCTCTATTTTTTATAGTTTGCCATATGCTGAATACTAAAATTAAAAGCAGAAG